TCCGTCGAGAAATCTTCGCTCTTAGGCACGAGGTTGATCGTATCAAGAAGAATATTCAGCGACTAACGGAGAACAGCGGCGAAATCTCGAAGTGAAAAGAAGCCGGAGCAGCCGAAGAAGAAAGAGGGCCTCGTTCGACACCACTAGAAAACGGGGTATGGGAAAATTACTCACATTAAATTTTTCGTCGTAAGGGCGCCCTTACAAAGTAAGGGCTTTCTAGTGGTGTGGAACGAGGCCCAGAGGTTGATCGTATCAAGAAGAATATTTAGCAACTGACGGAGAAAGCGGTGAAATCTCAAAGTGAAAAGAAGCCGGAGCAGCCGAAGACGAAAGAATAGGCACCAATTACGAGCGAGCAGCTAAAGGTTAACAACGTAGCCAGCAACCCCCCCTCGTGAAACAAAAAAGATCTTCCACAACGTCCACAGCCAAAAACTACATTCCTGACAAAGTGATGGACCTAACCACTGCTTTTTTTTTTTTTTTTTTTTTTTTTTTCCTTTGCTATTCAAACTGTTTGGAGAAGTCCGTAGCGAAGTTGTATAAGTAAGACAACGATCACAAAAAAAGTTGAAAAACTGTGCGGGGGGTGAACCATAGGTCGAAAGGAAGAAAAGGACGAGGGAAAAAACAAAAAGTGAGAAAAGGAGGACAAGAAACGGAGGGGTGTGGAAAAAAGAAAAAAGAAGAAAAGGAAAAAAAGCACAGAGTCACGGATATACTTCTCTCGATGTGGGTAAAAATATCCATCGGAAACGAGAGGCCCGGAAGGATTGCTGGTCTTAACTAATGGGAAGGATACATTGAATCTCACTTTGCCCCAAGCCAATGCTACTGCCTCATAGGGCACAGCTCCACCATGCAACATTCGACACGTATCTGGGCTGCTAACGAACAACTATACATGCCGACTGATCGAACATTTGAATTCATTCTAAGAATCTAAGATTCTAAACTAATAAATCAGTGAGTCCCAACAGTTCAATAAATATTTTTTCCTCTTAGGATTCTTATCTTTGAAATTTGAATGCATTGGGACCATTTCCAGCTCCACGTTTTCTTTTAATATTATTGATTTATTTATTTATTTTAACAACCCAAGCGGCTGCTAGGGGTGCTGATAAGAGCAGACACCACTACCACCTCCGAAGCGGCTCCATCTATAGGTGGGGAACATCGCCTGCTGGAAATCGGGTCCAGCGTCCCTGTAGACTATGTGTAGAGTAATGAAAGAGCCGTAAGCAACGAAACGGAAGCAATGCACGTATGAGTTGTCAGTATGGACGAGGAGGGGCCGGGTGACAAAGGCCCCAGCCCTCTATCAGACCTGTTCTGATGTAGAATTCAGCGAGCTGTCGCTCGTAGTGTTGTTATTATGACCTTTTTTAAGTTTTTTTTTTTTTTTTTTTTTTTTGAAGACGATGCTCCAATCTATTCTTGGGGAGCAACACGGCTGGGAACCGGGCCCAGCGTCCCTTATGACGTGGTATTGTTATTGTAACCTGTCAACTATCAAATACTATGTACTACTATTTATGTACTTGATGCCGTATGCTGATGTGTCTATGCTTGTATATGTGCTATTGGGCGTTGACTAATGCTGTGTAGTCACTGTAGTGTAGAGTAAAGGTGGTGGCGTTGCGATGTGTTTCTTGTGTTTTCTTGTTCCATATCGCAATGTGCTGTGTGCAATATGGTTGAGAGTGTTCCTGAGTGTGTTCCTGTGATACATGCAGGTGTGCTAGTCTGTTTGTCAGCGGGCTAATTCTAACCGACACAATTATGCTACCAATAAGCCCAAGTGTTATAGCAGGTCTCCTAAACCTTCGACCTTTTAAATCCTTAAACCCTTGCACCCTGTTGTCCGTCATCCCACCTATTGCCTGCTGCTATCTGGTCTGCATTCTTATGGAGTGCTGTGACAATGTGAGGTGAGATGTCAGCGTAGCTGTGTGGCTCTGCCATGGCTCCGCCATGTTGCCACCGTCCCAAAACCCATCTGAACCCTCCCTCCCAGTCTCCTGGAAGTGGGAGTGTTATCTTTTCTGTACAATCTGTCTCCCTATGTCTGTAAGTTCCAGCAGCTGTTGATATCATCACTTTCCGTGTCCTTTGTTCAGACGTGTGGGGACGTGGGACGCCAGCCCCGACCCCCCCCCTGTGCCCGCCCTCCCTTAATCCGGTCCACAGGTCCTGTCTCTGTTGTGAGCTCCCCAGTATGGAATCCTTCGTCCCTTTAATCCAGTATGTTCCTGTCACATCCGTTTTTTGTCCCCTTCTTGTCAAGGTAGCCCTGGTCTTCATGCTCCATGCCCCCTCCTTACACTGCCTATGTTACCCTTTGCTGTTCCTCCATCGGTGGGGTCATGTTTGATACGCGATTCTTCTTGAGAGGGAGGGAGTCCTTGCTTGGCCGGCCATCAGCATCAGGGCGGAGGGAGGGGAAGAGGGAAGG